CCCTCCTCCTCCTCCTCCTCCTCGCCCTCCCCTCCTCCTCCTCCTCCTCCTCCTCCCCCTCCTCCTCCTCCTCCTCCTCCTCCTCCTCCTCCGTCTCCGCCTCCTCCTCCTCCTCCCTGCCTCGTCGCCCTCCCCTCCCGGACCTGGGCCCAGGTCGGGCACGTCCTCCTACAGGCGAACTGGGAGAGAAAAGCATCAGAGTAGTCAAAGAGCACGAAGCATCGTCGCCCGACCATGTTTTAACCTAGTCATGCATATTCCTCCTGTAGAGGGACATGCCCGACTCAGACCTGGGCCAGAATAATATCCTTCAAGAACATGAGACCCTCCGCCGGCCAAAATAAACAGAACGTCTAAAGGCACCCTCCCCAAGGATGCACAAGGGCATGTCACAAGCACAGAGACACACACGAGGGTACCCTCCCCGAACCGACCTCGATCTCATGCCTCGGCCCGACTGTAAGACGAAGCCAGGGCGAGGATGACATGATGGGCCCGTTTTCCACCACCACCAGAAGTTGGAGGGGGGAAGGAAGAGGAGGAGGAGGAGGAGGAGGACGAGGAGGAGAAGGAGGACCCCCTCCCCCTACAACTTATGGTGGTGGTGGTAGTGGAAAACAGGCCCATCATAACATCGGGCGCCGCGGCCTTCTCAGAGCGTTCTGGGACGCTCCGAGAGCGCTCCGGAACGCTCTGGAACGGACTTGTCCTCGCCCTACGCCCGGCCCGGCAGAGGCCTCCCAAAATGAGGGGTCCGACCAGATGGGACCGGAGGATCGCACCGCATCGCCGATGCATCAGCGATGCATCGGCGACGTCGGCGTGGAGAAAATCGGGCCCGCATCGAGCCGCATCGGCGACGCCTCGGCGATGCGGCGCGTTCCTCCGACCCCATATGACCAGACCCCATCTGGGAGGCCTGCGGGTATCGCTGCGGCTATCGCGCTACCAGACGTTAGGAGGTGCCTCCGAGAAGGTCTTCGCGAGAACGACCGAAGGCTACAGAGCCCGGTTGAGGGGCCACTGGGCCGGATGAGCCCAGAGGAAGCTCAGGATCAAGCCCCGTTGAGCGAGAATCCGCGACTTTGGGCTGGAGCATGCTGGATTTGGCCAGCTTCTGGCCTCGGATATACCAGCGCCGATGCTGAATTCAACCTCCCAGGAGTTGCACCCTAACATTGGGTCGGGCATGTCCCCCTACAGGCGGATCTTGGACGACAAATAAAACACACACACACACACACACACACCATGAAAAATACACACAACAAAAACCAAACAAATAACAAAACAATCGCCCCCGCACTATCTTTTAGACTATTTTTGATTATTGCTCCTGTCGAGGGCCACGCCCGCCTTAGTCCCAACAGGCGGAACGCCGAGTAAGTCAAACAAACGAAAGTATACCCCAAAAGAATCAGACTTGTTTTTTTCTAATATAAAAAGACGCCCCCAGAAGATCTGTTGGACTGCTTCTGCATCCTCCTCCTGCCCAGGGCAACGCCCGACTTCGTCCTGACAGGCGGCACGCCCTCCTCCTCCTCCTCCTCCTCCTCCTCCTCCTCCTCCTCCTCCTCCTCCTCCTCCTCCTCCTCTAAGTCCACCGAGGCGCCTACTTCTTGGGGCCGCGGCGAGCCTCGGCCACGGCCCGGCTCTCTCCCCGACGACCTGGGCCTCCGAGGCACGCACCCCCGCTCGCCGAAGCGCCCCCTTATCGAGCCCGGGGGGACCCCTCCCTGCAGCACCTCGGCGCAGCGCCGCATCAGAAACGGAGGCTGCGCGTTCGAGCATAGACGAGGAGGGAGGAGGAGGGAGGATGGAGGAGGATGGAGGGAGGAGGATGGAGGAGGAGGAGGAGGGAGGGAGAAGAGGAGAGGAGGAGGAGGAGGAGGAGGAGGAGGAGGAGGAGAGGATGGAGGAGGAGGAGTGAGGAGGAGGAGGAGGAGGAGGAGGAGGTGGAGGAGGAGTGAGGAGGAGGAGGAGGAGGAGGAGAGGAGGAGGAGTGAGGATGGAGGAGTGAGGATGGAGAGTGAGGGGGGTAGGAAGGAGAGGGCGGGGGATGGGGAGCCGAAGAGGCTAGAACGATGAGGAGGAGGAGGAGGTCTTCGGTGGCTCCCGGCGGCTTCTGCGGGCTCCTCGCGGCCTCCGGCGCGAAGGCGGGAGGGCCGCGCCCCACGAGAGGCCCACGATCGCGCACCCCACGGGAGGGGCCTCCTCCGGCCCCGGCGGGCCCCGGCCACGAACGGGGCTCTCCCCGACGGGGCTCTCTGGCGTCCCGACGACGGTGACGGACCGTGCGGTGACCTCGAAGTCCCCCAAGACCTCACCGCGCGGTCCGTCAGCGCACGGTTTTGGGACCCTGGAGGCCCCAGTCGCCCGAGACGTCCTCGGAGAACGCCCCGAGTCCCAGAACCGTGCGGTGACACCGAATCCCCAGCGACTCACCACACGGTGTGGTCACCACCCCGTTTCTGGGCCCCCAAGGCTCTGACGAAAGGCCCCCGAAAGCCGGAGCCCCTCCAGAGCCCGAGGTAGTCTTAAGTCGGGCGTGTCCCCCTCCAGGCGGGTGTGGGAGGGAGCATAAAAAAGATTCAACCATGCTCCAAACAAAATCAGAAAATATTCAAACATCGTCCCCAGACAAAAATGCCCCAACCAAATCCAACAAAAGAAACAAACAAGTCAACCAAGGACTATGGTGTGTTACTATCTTTGGGTATTCCTCCTGTGGAGGGACAGGCCAGACCTGGAGGCAGCCCTGCCTTCCGATGTCGGCGTCCTGGCTGTGCTCCCTGGACTCGGCGGTGGACAAACCTCCCTGTACTAAACCTCCCCTCAGTGAAAATGGCCTGGGACCGAAACCAACGGACCTGGACCCGCAAAAAGGACGGCCGTGACGCCCTCTCGCGCACCGAAGACGGCCAATTCACTACTCGACGTGTCGGGGTAGGAGGCCCACCTCCGAATGTCGGCGTCCTGGCCGTGCTCCCGGGACCTCTCTCCCTCCAGGGGCGCGCTCTGGCCAGGACCTCGGGGCGAGGCAGGCCGCTGCGACGAGGGCAGGGCGGGAGACCCCCGAACCGCATCGACCCCTCGGCTCGGCGGAGCCGAATCGGCTCTCTCTGTTCTCAACCCCCCTTCTTCCCCTTCGGGGAGGGGTTTACCCCTCCCCCTACCCCCTCCCCCTGGGCCTGGAGAGGGCGTTTCGCGGGTCGTCAGGGGGGTCAATTTCGACTCCTGGGAGGGCTAAAAAACGACACCCCTCACGAGGATTCTGCCCCCGACGGGGGGAATGAGAAAAAACCCTCTCCTCTTCTTTGAAGCCAAAATCATTGATTTTACTACGGTTTCGGCCCCATTTTGGCCTTCTGAGGGGGCAGCGCTCATTCAAGCTTCCCTCTTTCTTCAAGGCAAAATTATTGATTGTACGACGGTTTTGGGCTCATTTTGCCCTTCTGAGGGGGCAGCGCTCATTAAAGCTCCCCTCTTCTTTGATCGATTCCCTCCAAGATGGCCCCAAGAAGCGCCCAGGAGGCACCAAGAGGCCCCAAGATGGCCCCAAGAGGCCCCCAGGAGGCCCCCAAGAGGCCTCCAAGAGGCCCCCAAGATGCCCCCAAGAGGCCCCCAAGAGGCCCCAAGAGGCTCCCCCGAGGCACCCAAGACGCTCCTGGAAGCCCCTGGGGCCGCCAAGAGGCCCCCAAGACGCCCCAAACGGCCTCCAAGAGGCTCCCAAGAGGCCCGAAGAGGCTCCCCCAAGGCACCCAAGACGCTCCTAGAAGCCCCTGGGGCCGCCAAGAGGCCCCCAAGACGCCCCAAAAGGGGACGAGGTGCCCGAACGCCTCACGCCACGAGGAGCCCGAACGACTCACACCAGGACGAGGGGCCCGAACGACTCACACCACGAAGAGCCCGAACGACTCACACCAGAAGGAGGGGCCCGAACGACTCACACCAGGACGAGGCGCCCGAACGACTCACACCACGAGGAGCCCGAACGACTCACACCACGACGAGGGCCCCGAACGACTGACACCACGAGGAGCCCGAACGAGTCACACCAGGAGGAGGGGCCCGAACGACTCACACCAGGACGAGGGGCCCGAACAACTCACACCACGAGAAGCCCGAACGACTCACACCAGGACGAAGAGCCCGAACGACTCACACCACGAAGAGCCCGAACGACTCACACCAGGAAGAAGGGCCCGAACGACTCACACCAGGACGAGAAACCCCAAACGACTCAAACCACGAGGAGCGCTTTCTCTCCCTCCTCCTCCGCCTCGTCCTTCTCCCGCTCCCCCCACAAGGAGGATGTACAAGGAGGCGGGAGGAAGGAGGAACAGGGGAGATATGCGGGGGCAAGCGGACACACGCCTGAAAAACACGACTGTCGGCATGCTTCGCAAGAGTTGCTGTTGTGAGATGGGCTGGTGGGGATACGCGAAGCGTAAAGAATTCACTACTCGACGTGTCGGGGTAGGAGGCCTACCCACCTCCGAATGTCGGCGTCCTGGCCGTGCTCCCGGGACCTCTCTCCCTCCAGGGGCGCGCTCTGGCCAGGACCTCGGGGCGAGGCAGGCCGCTGCGACGAGGGCAGGGCGGGAGACCCCCGAACCGCATCGACCCCTCGGCTCGGCGGAGCCGAATCGACTCGAACCGATACATCGAATCGATAATCGAATCGGATCGATGATCTTAAGTCGAGCGTGTCCCCCTGCAGGGGGATATTTCGACGAACAATAAAGAATACCCAAAACAATAGTCCCGAATGGTCAAAACATACACAAAAAGTAGTCCCCAGACTACTTTCTGAGTATTCTTGAATACTTCTCCAGTAGAGGGACGAGCCCGACTTGACGATACTCGAATCGGAGTCGAAATGCTCCCTGTAGGGTGGCGGCATCAGCATCCCCTGCTCCTCCTGGCGCTCGGGCGCCTCACAAAAACTCCGGCCTCCGTGCCCGCATGGCTCCACCGTGGCGGCGAGCCGCCCGCCCTCAGAAGGTCAGGGCGTCCGGGAAGAAACGGCACGACTCGATGCAGCCCCCCGCCGTGAGAAAGATGAGCCCGAAGAAGAAGTTGGGCGCCAGGGAGGCCCAGGCCTTGATGTCGTCGGACGAGCCCATGGGCGTGATGATCTGCACCTGCAGGGCAAGAACCAACTGCACAAGCATCAGACTGTTGGAGGTCCGCGTGGATTTCGTGCATCAGCCATGGACCCCCTCCCCGGCGCGCGGAGCGCGCCAGGGGCGGTGCCGAGGGCGCCGCCAGGGGGATCCAGAGCAAATCCCAGGAATCAACGCGGGCCTCCGAGCACTGAAGCTTATGCAACGTGTTCCCTTCCTCGAGCCTTGTTCTCCGCACCCTCGCTGAAGCTGAAGGAGCCGGTCTGGATGTCCAACTTCTCCATCCACGGCAGCGCCAACGCCTCCTTCGGGAGTTCGGACTTGGCGAGGGCCTTCTTCGCCTCCATGGGCACCAGTGTGCGGCGCACGTTGCCCGAAGAGCCCTGGCCCACGAACAGCAGCGTGGCGTTGTAGCTGGTCCACAAGGCTGTGAGCAGCAGCACCACCGGAAGAGCCCGAACGGGAGCCCGAGTCTGCGCCATGGCCGCCGGGAGGGAGATGCCGGGAGGCCAACAATGCGTCGCACGCCTTGGGGATACTCCTCGAGCCAAGACGGCCACGGGAAAGGAGGAGGAGCAGTAGCAGCAGTAGCAGGAGCGGGAGGAGCAGGGAAAGGCGGAGGGGGGGGAGAGGGGCGACAACGCCGAGATGCTACCGGGGAGGAGGGACAGAACTGCTGCCCGGGCTGGGGCGAAAGCTCCATTCTAAACGACGAGAGCAAAACACCGATCCTGAAAGAAGGCCAACACTCCAGCGGGAACATGATTGGTTGTGGGCATGTTCGAATGCTCTTATGTTGTCTGGGGGGGTCCTTAGTCTTCCTCAGGCTGATGCCCCCCCCTCTCCTCTCACGCGTAGTTCTGAAACCGACCCTCGCTGGAGTTGCTCTCTTGCGCTCTTTTCGGCCTCCAGTCGGCTTAAGAGGCTTCGAAGACGGCTCCCCAAATAACCAAATGACATAGAGACGGCTTAAGATGAACTGACTGTCGGTTACCGACACGGCATAAGAGGCTCCCAAGACGATCTCAGGGTGGCACGAGAGGCTTCCAAGACCGTCCAAGAGGACTCCAAGAGGCCCTCAAGGAGGAGGCGAAGAGCAATGACTGTTTAAACAATTTGTTTTGAGGTTCTTACCTGTTTGGGTTTCCAACCGCCCAAGACGGTCCAAGAGGCCTCCAAAATAGCTCCAAGAAATCCCATGGGCCCCAAAAAGAGGGCCCCGCGTCGGCCCAAGAGGAGCCCAAGATCGCCCAAGAGCCTCCCAATGGGGGGCCCAAGAGAGTCCTAAGGCACTCCACGAGGATACCAAGACACCCCAAAGATGCCCCCAAGACGGCCTCCGAAAGCGCCGAACGGGCCAAGAGCCCTCCAAGACGGCCCAGGATACTTCGAGAGGCGGCCAAGAAGCCCCAAGAGGCTCAACAAAAGCCCTTGAGAGGCCCCCACGAGGCTCCCAGGAAGCCCAAACAGAGCCCCTAAAACGCCTTGTCCTCCTTGTGTGCATTGTCTCCCTCTGCTTCTCATCCTCCTCTCCTGCTCCTGTTCATCCCTGCCGCGCGGACGAAGATGAGGTCTAGATCGCGACCCGTCCCAGTTCAAATCAAACCTCATGATTGCGCCGTTCCTACACTCAGCCTCCTTCCTGCTGGGTGGTTGCACAGGCGCGGAGGCGGAGCTTGCCGCAGGCAGCCCGATACCTTGGCATGTGCATACATACATGGGTAAACGCATGCATGAATGTATACATACACGCATACATACACACATACGCATACATGCTCTCGAAACAATAGTGTACTTAGGAATTGTTACTTGTGTAATAGAGGAACTGGGCCTGTCTGATGCTCTGGCGACTATGCTGTCGCCGTCGCCGCCCCGTCGCCGCCAGTCGTCTGGGCCTGACTGGCAGCCTGGCGACTATGTTGTCGCCGTCACCACCCCGTCGCCGCCTCGTCGCCGCCCGTCGTCTGGGCCTGACGGGCGGTATGGCGGCTATGTCGTCGCCGTCGCCACAAAGAGTTTGCAACATGGCGTCTCAAACGAAGCCCGCGCGCGTTTGCAAGTTCGTTCAAACACCGACAATTTTCAATATGTTCAACCGGCCCCTCGCGTGGGCATGCCGAACTCATCCGAACGCCCTTGCGCGCTATTGGGGTGAAGCGACCCGTTGCGAATCATACCCTGTGGACCGTTCGTGCCCGTCGGCCGCGCGCGAATGTCCAAACTCCAAAACCTCCACCACCGACGCGTGGACACCGTCATCGTCACCGGCGTGACCAGCATCGGCGCCGACGTTGGCCTTGCCGTCGTCATCGTCATCGTCGACACCAAAATCGTCGCTATAATAATTGTGTCTGCCGTTGTCGGCGTTGCCATGATAGCGCCCGCCCGAACCACCGACTCGCACTGAAGTGCCTGCGCGTCGGCGCGGCCTGCGAGACGCGATGGAATGTCCCCAGCGGTCTGCGCCATTAGGGCCGCGTCGGTCGCAACAGACTAGCTGGCCGCTCTGCGCCCGAACGCGCCCGCGCTAGCGCGACCGCAGCGATGCGCCAGCCAGCGCCAAGCACTCATCGCAATCGCCGCCGCATGAGTTTTACAAACTAAATTGTGGGCGGGAAGGTCGGACAATTGCGCGAGCAGTGGAATTGACACTTCAATCGGCTGGCCCCCGTGTGGGGCCACCAGGCTGTAGGGCGAAGGTTCGCAGTTTCCTGTACCAGTTGCAGCTTCCAGTTTCAACTGTTACAGTTCTGCTTCTTGCTGCTTACTGTTCCTTGTTGATGGACCGCGCCAGGGGGGGAAGGCCCAAACGGGCAGGCTTAGCACGCCCTGAGCGTGTGCTCTGAATTGCTGGGGTGGTGAAAATTTACCCCCCTCACGCAGATCGGTGGGGTCAGGGTCCAAAAACACATGGGATTTGCCACATTTCTGAAATTCGGTGGCACCCCTCACGCAGATCGGCGGGGTCAGGGTCCAAAAAACAAATCGGAGTTGCAACATTTTTGAAATTTCTGCTGGCACCATGACGCAGATCGGCGGGGCAAGGGTCCAAAAACACCAAGGATTTGCCACATTGATAAAATACGGTGGCATCCCTCACGCAGATCGGCGGGGTCAGGGTCCCAACCACAACGAATTTGCTACACTTCTGAAATCCGGTGGCACCCCTCACGCAGATCGGCGGGGTTAGGGTCCAAAAACACCAGAGACTTACTACATTTCTAAAAATTTGCTGGCAACCCTCGCACAGATCGGCGGGGTCAGGGTCCAAAAACATATGGGATGTGCCACATGTATTAAAATTCGTTGGCACCCCTCACACAGATCGGCGGGGTCAGGGTCCGAAAACCCAGGGGTTTTCGGTGACACCCCTCACGCGGATCGACAGGGTCAGGGTACAAAAACAAATGGGATTTGCCACATGTTGTAAAATTCGCTGGCACCCCTCACACAGATCGGCGGGGTCAGAGTCCAAAAACACCAAGGATTTGCCATATTTCTGACATTCGGTGGCACCCCTCACGCAGATCGGCGGGGTCAGGGTCCAAAAACACAGGAGATTTATCACATGTCTGAAATTCGGCAACACACCCTCACGCAAATCGGCGGGGTCAGGGTCAAAAAAAAATTGGAATTGCAACATTCCTGAAATTCGGTTGCGCCCCTCGCGCAAATCGGCGGAGCCAGGGTCGAAAAACAAACCGGTGCCGACACTGCTTCACGGCGGCGTCCAGACCACATGATTTAGCTTTTGCATCTCCCATTATCCGAGGAAGGGGGCCGGCGGCATGGGGCGAAGCCCTTACGGAGAATGAGCATTCTGCAATTGCGCCACATAGAGTGCACCACGCATTCTGGAATACGTCACTTGGACAACATCGATTGCTAGAAACACACCGTTTGGGGCCCAAGTTGGCTAACATTGAAAAGTGGTCCGAATATGACAAATTCGCGTGACATATCACGGGTCGAAGCCCTGTGCAATACAATGCGCGGATGGGGGCGGGAGCAACACTTCGCGTTCAGGGGAAAGAGGAGAGCAATACTCATGGGGTGTATATGGAGTCGGGTGGGGGGCGTGCGGGGAAAGGGGGGATGAAAGCAAGAGAGTGGGAGAAAGAGATATAGAGAGAGGGAAACCAACAAAAGCAGAGAGATAGAGAAAGAGAGAGAGAGAGAGAACAAGAAGACAGAGAGAGGGAGAGAGAAGAGGTAAGGAAAAGGAGGAGGAGGACAAATGGCGGAGGGGAGATGCCAGCGAGGGCGCATGAAGGCGAGGAAGAGGAGGAGCCATGACTCCACCTGGGGGCGAGGGAAAGGAAGAGGGCGAGGGAAAGGAAGAAGAGGCGGAAGAGCGAGGGAAAAGAGGACCGGGGGGAGGAAGTGGAGGAGGAGGAGGAGGAGGAGGAGGAGGAGGAGGAGGGAGGGAGGAGGAGGAGCGCAGCAGCCACTGAAGGGGCTAATCTAAAGGGCGCACCTCGGAAGCTCCTCCGGCGGCGCGGCCCTGGGCCGCCGCCGCGCTCTCCCAGCTGGCGCGCGCCCCCGGGTGGCCCGGCGACGGCGCGGGCAGCAGCTGCGCCGCGGCGCCGCGCACGAGCGCGGCGTGCAGCTGGGCGTGCCGTGGGTGCAGCTGGCGGCCAGGCAGAGGAGGAGGAGGAGGAGGAGGAGGAGGAGGAGGAGGAGGAGGAGGAGGAGGAGGAGGAGGAGGAGGAGGAGGAGGGGGCCACTGCGGCAGAGGCCCTCGGTGCAGGCCGCTGCGCGGTGCTCCGGCAGAGAGCAGCCGCCCGCGAACCGAGCCGGCCGAAGAGGCCGTGCGCGGCGGGACGGACCTCGCTGCCCCTGGCCGGCAGGCAGCGGACGTCCTTCTCGGCCGATCGGCGGCCCGCGCCCCGCCTCCGGACCGGCGCCATGCCGGCACGACGCGGACATCGGAGGCCTGACGGTGCACCGTCGACGAGGCAGCGAGAGGGGCTCCAGGGCGCCAGGGCGCCCAGTCGTCCAGCCATGCCTCGGCGCGGCTTGTAGACGGCTCCAGGCTCGAGAAGCTCGCGGCGAATGCACCCGCAAGCCTCCGCCACGATGCCTGCGCTCACTTCCGCCAATCCATCGCGCGGCGGGTCTGGAAGAGCCCGCGCTCGCACATGGCCGCGTGGTCGCCGTGCGCGCCCGGCTGATTGACACACGGCTCCTGCGTGGACGTCTTCTCGATGAGCCGAGACTTCCCCAGCAATGCAGGGCAATGGCGAACAGAAAACATTTCGATATAGGTTTTAGATAGGTTCAAAAGTACGTTCGGGAGATAGGTTCGCAAGCATAGTAGGTCCCAGGAAGAAGGTGCAACGCGCGGGGAAAACGTGTCATCGGGCAGATAGCCTCCCGTTACTGGGTTTGCCAAAGCGCGTCGGCGCAAATGCCGCGGGCAGCTAAGTTGGCGAAGCGAATTCGCCAAACTAGCCCTGGCGAGTGCACCCGGGGACGT